ATTATTATTATTATTATTATTATTATTATTATTATTATTATTATTATTATTATTATTATTAACCTTGGGCTAGAATTTGTAATGTTGTGATGAATTTCTCTGCCGTTTCTGATGAGTATTGAACTCGACTGTGGAATTTAAACCTGGCAAAAACAGGATTTGCTTTGGGACTTGTGACTCTCAAAACGTTCGTAGTATGTTCCTAATTTCTTACGGTCATCGTCAGAGGTGTCAGACCACATGTTGTAGATATCTCTTCCTTTCTGACCGACCCAGATGAGCAAATAGCTGCATTTCTCCTCTTTTGTTCTGGATTTGAGAGGTCATTTAAACATCAGCTCAATGTGTTGCTTGAAAAGCCACCAGTTTCCTTTTGGGTTGTTGCCTTCCCACTGCATAACCAGGCATTCGATGCCACTTAAAGCCATGTTTCCGAGGTTTTTAGTTTATTTCTGACACCATGTAATAGCTGCGAGCTATACAGGAGGTGATAGAGCTTCTTATTTGCTTTTAATATCTAAACAATATGGCGGGAACTACATGCGAAAGATCGCAAGGCACAATGGGTAACATGCTGCTTACATCACCGGAAGTGCATTCAAAGTATATATCATCACACATTGAACATATCAAACTTTAGGCGTGTGTAGAAAAAAAACCAAATGACATCTGGAAAATCGCTGACACCCTTTTTGAGGGTAATGTGTGAGAAAACATTTCCGATGTTAATCGTACCACTCCAATTATTCACACGTGGAAGCAAAGCAGTGTGTCTGGGTATTTCTTCAAATATTACTGTGACAGTAACTTTTTCGAAAATGTCAAAGATATGATTGTATTCTATAACTATTAAGCTATCAGAAAATGTATAGGTTGATGGGGTTTTCTTTCAAAGTGCTAGCGTAACACTGTCAATCCACCTACCATGATACCTGACATCATGGTGAAGCTATATTTTTTGAAAATCTCTTTCACTTAATTTCTTATTTGTACCCCCAAGGATAGCTTTACATGTAAGTGGGTCACACTATTGTCTATTTCATCAATCTTTTTTTTCTCTTTGCTGAATCCCTTCACTAGCTCGATCTTGTTATGCAGTTAGCCTGTTTCCATCAATGACAATATGTATGTCTTCTGTGTTTTGCTGTGTGAGGTCTCCTCTACTTGCACCTACATCTACCAATCGTATGGTTTCTGCTTCTTCCACTTGTTTTGCTAATTGTTTTATCCAAGCAAGAATCCCTTATTTCCCTTGAAATGTTCTTTACTTAACACTATAACTAGAAGTCAACAACCTAGATACCATGAACATTTGGATGCCACAATGACAAAGATATTTTTAGTGATAGAAATGTCATGTACTCCTACATGAGGTATTCAAAGTTCAAATTATCCATTTACTGCTTCTACTACAAACTTTAGATTAGTGAAAAACAGGTTAAATTATAGGTGGTATTTAAATTACCAAAATGTCCATTGAAAAGAAGCACATCAGTACCTAACAAACAGGGACAAGAAACAAACACATAAGTCACTAAACCAAACTGTTTATTACATATTAACCCCACTATTTTTTAATAAGGTAGGAAAATGTAAATAGCAGTCAGGGAAAAGAATTTCCAGGCATTGGGTTGTCGAGTGAACAGTTGATGGTGGAGGTGTAGGAAACATGTCAAAAATAATTTTCACCCAAACACACATCCATAACCAAAAAATAAAGCATGACTCTTGACTCATAACATGACACAAAAGCAAAGTTAAGGCTGACTAGGAATGAACTAAACACATGGCTTTGGTAACAAGTGCGTGTAGCAGCCACTTGGAAGATTGGAAAGAGATATTCTGTGGCCCATTTAAAGTGGAAGAGGAGGAGAGGAAGGCATTCATCTTTTTCAATGTCCACTTCATTTTTTTCCACCATTTTTTCATAACGGTTTCAAGCAAAATGCAGTGCCTAACCCTGACAACAAGACAAGCCAGATGAAGCTACCACTTCATAAAACTGCATGCTTTTAAAAAATCAACAACTTTGATATTCAACCCACTGAATTCTAAACCAGTCAAAACTTGGCCTCAGGGAGAATGGTCTTTGCATCACTAGCCAGACAAATGTAGTGTGAAAGAGAGGAGACAATGGCCTAATGTATTTTTTCATGCCTTTAAAATTCTAAAAACACATTAATATATCTTAATTGACCACTCTTCAATGGGGCTTTAAGGGCCAACATCAACAAAATCTGCGACAAATTTACAAATAAACATTATTATTGTACAGTATTGTGCAAAAGTAATGCAACCAATTTTGGCAAAATTCCTGGCTTATCAGGGTTTAAATACACCTTATTCCAAAATGGCCACCATTTTAGTGTTCTTTTGTTTGCCCTCAAATTACCCCTTGTTGCCTTGTTCTTAAACTCGAAATTCAAAAGAATATTTTCCCTTGAACGAGGCAACAAGGGCTAATTTGCAAGCAACCAAAAGAACACTAAAATGGTGCCCATTTTGGAATAAGGTGTACTGGAGGAAAATTTTCACTTTAAACGATGTTGTTAAAATCCTCACAAATTTTCACTTGATAATTTAATGTGCTTGATACTTCACAGCGCATTCTGGAACAATAATTCACTCTTCACGAAAATCCACTGGGATTTAAGAGTGAAATGGAAAAAATTGCCTGGTGAAGATCGAGCATGAAGGCCACTGAAGTCTGCCAAATACCATCACAACTCAGCAAACTGTTCAGTATTTAACTTACCTGGTTATTTCACGCTCAGTTGTTAACTTGATACAAAAGCCAATAAATACAGTACTGCATTTCCAAAAAAACACATCACTTTGTACTTGTTATTAACCACTCAATGCACTTGCTGAAGTAGGTGTTAATTGATTGAAAACTAAAAAGCAACAGGTTATCACGAATGTAAACAATGCCATTCAAAGTGGGTTTCTACACCCAGTATTCTAACCCAATGACTCCTGTGCTGGCCATAACTGGCCATGACAAGCATTAGCTTTTGTTCCACTTCTGACATCATCACCTTTGACCAAAATTGGCATCATCTATACTCAAGTTCTGCAGAAGGAAACAATCATTTCAATGATATCCAGATAAGAATGATCAGTTCAATGGAGCCTGAAATATGCATGAAAATGCTCAGAAATTTGAGTAAAAAACCTAGAGCAAAATTTCCTGTCACTACTTTAAGCTACTCCATGATAAAAATTGCCCTACTTGATGATGATTTCTCAGAAATTTTTGAACTGGAAGCAAGCCCAGTAGAAGGTCGATCACTGCAGTAAAAAGACAAGAAAAGGAGAATCAAAGTGGCTGTGAGCCACTGAGCTAAAAAAAATGAACTATAAAAAGTCAAGTTTAAAAAAAAATACACAACCCAAAACATACTTTGTATACTGTCTAAACAATTTACAAATCAAAGTAGCTGTGAGCCACTGAACTCGCATAATGATTTATGAAAGGCTGAGAATGGAGTTTTTGCATTTATTAAATCCATTTTGAAATCACTGGTTATCCTTGCAATCTGATTTACATTCAGTGGTGCGATTTATTCACGAATCGCACTATTTTTGCTCTAAATCGCATCTTTTTCTCAGCCAATGAGAATGGGACAGTAAAAAAACAGCCAATCATATTTCAAGGTTAGTTTGAAGTAATCAATAAAATTTAAGGAGAATGAAGGCAAAAAACCATTGTGTGGAGAATTTTGCAACTCCCACTGCCAAAACTTTGTTGTTGTTGTTTTTCCAAAAAAAGTTGACGAATTTAATTAATTACAGTCTGTGCATGACAATTATGAGCTCCTTCAGGCAGAAGACCTACTTTATTGGAAGTTTCCAACTTTCAGTGTCCACTACGACAAATATTTTGGTGATTTTTCTTCAACCTCTGTTCAAGATCTGTATGATACCAAGTCCAGTAAAACATAAACAAACGAAAACTACACAACAACAAATTCAGAGCCATCTCAAGAAGGTAGATGTTTCCAGCTTTCCGGTAGTTTCAAATAAAGCAACAAAAGAGCTCAGCTGTGTCGCTGTGAATAAACAGAGTCAAAATACGCGCCATTGCACAAAACAGTGAATGAACAAATGTTTTACAAAGCTGGTACCAGTCCCGCCATCTTGGAAATACCTTGAAACAAATGGTGCCACAAGAACTTGACAAGGTCCTGAGTATTGAGACCTACACCGAGATGATAACGAGCTGGACTCCCTTAAAATCATGCCATTAAACAGTAGTTAAAAGAAAAAAACGTACTGTATCCACTGGGCATCCTGCACTCAAGGGAGTTTCACAACTCAAAAGAAATCCATCACAGAATTACACAGGATGAAGCTTCAAATTCCTTCTCCAAAGACAATGAAAAGTCTCAGCTTCAACCACAGAAGAAAGGAAGGCCTTCCATCATTGATTCAGGTGACGAGAATTGAACTTTTATACCTGAAGTAGACTATTTTCGTTCTGACTTTAGAACTGCTTGTTTCTTTGTCATGCTCAAATGAGTCTTCGTCACGACATAGTTTTGCATACTAAATGAGACATAAAGGTGTTTCCGGTTCCGCTTTTTTTAACAAACCAGCTACTGGAACAATATACCAAATTTAAGGCGATAAAATTGTGCAATTTCAAAATGGATCTCAATTGAAAACCACTCTAATTAATAACAATAATTGAACTTCATGTCGTGCAATTTTGGTCAGAAATCATACTTCTGATTTCAAATCGAACTTGCGCTGCAGATCAAACTTGCGATCCATGAATCAGCACGAGTGAGAAACATTACCAGAAAGACAGTAATTCAGCTCCACTTGAACGAGCTCGTCAACAAAGCATTTGAACGATAAGTCATCGACTCATAGGACTTTCACATGACTCTTTTGCCTGCTGTTCTAACGACCCAGCATTTTTGTAGAAAGCAATATAATAAAAAATGTATGTTTCAACGGATTTCTTCAGATGTCGATGTGGCACAGTGGAGGAGGTGACTGCACAGCAAGCAAGAGGTTGTGAGTTGGATTTCTACCACGCTCAACTCTTTTTTTTACTTTTTTTTTCTTATTAGCGGGTATATAAAAAAAGTTTACCGAAACACAGCCTTTGCCTTTCCAATGCTTAAATAAAACATTTACCAAACCACAGCATTTGCTTTCCGATGAAAAATCATCGGAAGCGGTGCTACTTCCATTGAACAGCATTGAACTGGTTTAACAGTGAGAACTTCAAGCTAAAAAACGTACCCCGTCGACCATGCAGAAATGATCCACGAATAAGAAACATTGCCACAGAAACAAATCACTCGGTGACTAAATCTTTTCCGACTTGGGGGCAACCAACAGCCACCGCTTTATGTACTGGTCAGCAGAGTGGCTAGAAAGTTAACAGGAATCACAGGATAGAAGGAAGGAGTGAGCGAAGGAGTGAAGGTCAACGTCATACCTATACTCAGAAAATGACTTTTTCTGAGAAAAAAGGAAAGGCGGAAAAAAAATTCAAAAAAAACCAAAAGCCTGAAAGATTTAGGTCACTTTCTCTTCTTCTTTGATTTCTGCACATGCCTGAGTGAGAATGGCGTAAAATGTCATGCTACTGAAAAGGCAGGCAGGCTGTTATGTTGCAAATGGTTTTTTGGGTAGATTGGAGGTAATTTGGCACATGTCCAGGCTGAAAAACGCCAAAATGTCCAAAAAAATAATGCATTTTTGGCAAAAAACCCCAGGAGTCAATGGGTTAACAAATAAAATGTGAGGGAGCTAGGATGCAATAAATGTATAGCCAGATGGTTTTGTGAGAGTTTGGTATGAACAAAATTCTGGGTTTCAATGCCATTAAAGGAGAAGGTCACTCCAAAAAGCTTACTTCTTTGTCTTGACCTATAGCAAGTAAACTATCAGCTTTTCCACTCACTGAAGTTTTAGCCTCTGAAGTGACCACTATCCTGAAGAAATTCCTCTCGAAAGAAGCGACTTCAGAGGCCACCATTTTGAAATTCTCTCAGCAGCCAGGCCATGTTTATGTAATCCCATTATGTACAACTCAAAATTGGCGGGAAGGAAAAACCTGCAACTGACTGGCATCCTTCACAAGGTCAGTAAAATCTGTTTTTTTTTCCAGTCAATTATCCACTTCACTATCTTCAATGCTATCATTTTGGAGTTTGGAGCATATTTGGCTCAGAATAATATGGCTCGAGAACAACCATAACCCAGAATGGTAGTTAAGAGGCTTGCTGGAAGCCATCTGCACAAAATCTCTCGGATGGAATGACATCACAAAAACACAGCCTAGCTGCTGAGTTCTGTTCAAAATGGCGGCAACGATGTTTGAACTCTGGAGACGAATTTCATAAGGAAAACCTGGACTTTAGTGAGTGGCTAAACTTAGTACAGGAGTTTTTATTAGTGTTAACAAAAATATATGTTTTTTGGAGTGACCTTCTCCTTTAAAGAATATGAAACCTCCATGTTCAGAGAAGTCTGCAGAAACCTTTGTCCATGAAGCTTACATTGTATGAGATTACAGATGTCACTGAGTGTAACCTTGGTCAGAAGAAAATGTTTTCGTTGAAAGTGCAAACAACCCCACAAGCTCATGTAGCTTTAATACTCATTGTTTTAAAATAAAGGTTATCTATCTATCTATCAATTAATTTTTGAGACTTTCATCTGACATTTGGCTTTTAATTAGCAGTTTTTACTTTGCTTATGAAATAAACTGAGCTTACTGTCTTCACAATCCAGTGAGTACATTATGCATAGTGATCCTGGCTGAAAACCTTTTGCAAATTTTATAGATTATCTGAACATTGTCACAGATAACAATTGTATGTTAACCTCTAACTGGTGATTGATGACTGCAAACCATGTACTCCAGCATGCATTTGCAAACAATTACAGGGCTCAAAAAAAGTTTAGGACAAGTGGTAAATTTCTTTCAGGCGGGCAAAGTACTTTTCATTCTCACTTGCATGATGAGCAAGTGCCCAGCAAATCATCTGCCAATTAGTTCCTTGTCCAAAGGGCAATCTGGAATTCCAATTTTTTTCAAGCCCTGAATTACATGCATTGAAATTTATCTCGTGTAAGTTAAAATTTGTGGGCTGGTTAAGGGTGACACACCTTGTAGGGGACAAAATGTTCTTTATGTCTCGCCTGCCTTTGGCAAATTGTTTAAATAAATGAATAAATAAATAAATAAAAAGAGTTACTTCATATCAGTCACAGAGAGAACTTTGCACGCAAACACTGTTGAGCTGTCATTCAGTGCGTAGAGAAATTTCTTGTATTGGCTGGTGAAATATTGTTAGTGTTTCTGAATTTTCCTTGACTTAAAAGGTACTGAAAATTCATTGATATTTCCCTCTTCTTCCAGTAAATTATTGCTCAACATGCTGTGAAATTCCTCGCAAACTTTCAAGTGAATCTTCACTGAAAAGTTCAAGAGAACAAAAATGAAAATCATGCATTTTGCTTGGATCAATTTTGCACAATACTGTACATGTAGTAAGTGAGTAAGTGAGCAAGGGATTTATGTCTGTGTTGACATATCACTGTGTGTCTGTGCTTACCAAGTGTAAAACAGTCCAACAAATCAGATATCATATCAACACTGCACCTGATCCATACATCTCCACCCTGCAAATAATTCAGATAATAAGGACATTGACATTAAATAATCAGTTTTAAAAACAGTTCAAGCTGAAGGTTTGGCAACATACATTGGTCCAAAATGGGTGACAAAAGGTCCTCTTTGACTAATGTTTTAGTACATTAAGTCAATTCTACAACACAAGTACCTTCAAATAGAAAGGAACCCAGAAAAATCAAGTCACTGACCTCAGAAAGTGGATGATAAACTTTAAGGTGATTTGAGGCTACTGTGACGAATTACTATTTGTTTTGCTCTGTTGGTCATTGGTTCCACTCTGGGGTAATGTCAATCATTGACATTAATACACTGCACATTTTTTGTAAAAACTTCATAGAAAGTTGTATTTTGCCAAGATCAGTGTCCCATAATAAAGAGTGTGAGTGTCAGAAATCAATTTGCGTTTTTCCTAATACTGAAGTCCAAAATGGCACTTGAACATTTTGTTTGGTCAAATGTGCTAGTGTACTGCACCCATAAATTAATTATCACCACTGTCCCACGTCTAAACAGATCTAAGAATGAGAAACATTGGCACTGAAACAAATCACCTGGCCAGTAAATTGTGTCAAATCCACCTCAACAAGTTCAGCAACAAGGCTTTCATTGGGTCAAAAACAGAAACAGTTGACTAAACTCAGTTCATTTCAACATCACACCTCAGCATGACTTCTGTATCCAGAACTCACATGGGCCTGGCATTGTATTTAAATATCTCAAGAGCCAGTTTCTCTAGATATCGAGAATGAGATGGTAGTCCTGAAATTTTGGATTTCTTCATGTTTTGCCCAAATCTCCTCTATAGTAAGTTGTTTTCAAAAAATACCATTCAAAGGTACTGGACTGCTTTAGTTTCTTCGAAATCAAGGAAAGTTTGAAAATCACCATTTTAGCTTCCAGCTACCACCGAAAATGGTGGAACATTAGGCATTTTCCTTTCGCTTATACAGATCAACAAGATGATATCTATCAATATACTTAGGGGGAAGCTCATAGTGCATGTCTTGCTGTTTCCAAAACATTAATTTGATTAGGAAAAGCTTTAAGTGTTGTAACATGTTAGGCTGATTCAAGTACCTCACTCAAAGCCCATGAGCAAAAGGACTGATTTTAGCTAATTTCGATACCATCAAAAGCCCACTGGTTTGGAAGTCAAACCTAAAATTTTCTGAAAGCCCATACTCTATATTGCCTTGTGTGAAAGTTGTTTCCGCAGCCCAAAATAAGTATGCATTAGAAGCATTTTACAATTAATAATTGCAAAGTATCACATTTTACAATTATATGTGTGCAACTTGATTATTAAAAGTGAAAATGTCATCCCAACTATTAAAAAAAATCTCCAGAAATAAACAAACAGCTGTTAACACTAATTTACTTAAAACCTGGCATTCAAATATGGACATGCAACATGTGCTAGATCCGTATGCATGTGAAACAATCATACTGTCTTATATATCACAAACAGAGCTAGGCACATTGGGAACAAATTTCTAAATGCAGTTGAAGTAAGTGCTCAAGAACCTATGTATTTCGGATTACAAATGCCATTGAGAAGATCTTCTTAGGATTTTCAATTTATCAGCACCTCACCTCTAAATGAAAGGACATTCTTGTTAAAGAACTTAGATAAGCTCAAAGAGTTGCCTACCAAAACTCAATGGACATAGAATCTTACAATAACATTAAACATTATTTATCAAAGAAGACCAAAACAATTAGAGACGTTATGCTTGGCAAACTTTGTTGTATGTTTTAACTGTGTTAAACATACTTAGCAATAGTGCTAGTAATGAGCCATCATTGCTAGGCATTGATGATTTTCTGCCAGAAACTAATTTTGAAGACAACATTGACGATGACCCTTTGCTGCTTATAATTACTGTGTGAGCCAAATGAATACTTGTAAACTAAAAGGAAGTATGAAACTAGCAAAAAGAAAAAAAAACTAACATAGTCTGGTCTGTCAGATACCATAAAGATAAGGACCCAGAAAACCATTTTAGAGAACAGCTTTGTATGCTTTACATACCATGGTGAAAGAAAAGCACTGATTTGATAAAAGACTGTCAAACATACTGAGAATGGTTTGAACAACAGGCGTCAACAGGCGCTACAACAGATGCCAATATGAGTACCGTTCAGAAATACTAGATACATGTATTTAGCAATGGATGATATTAACAATGCTGAATTTGAAAACTTTGACAATGTCACTCCAACTGCAGAGCACATCAATAAGCAGGATTGCACTGTCAAGGAGAAGCCAATATGACCTGTTGACAATATATTTAGGTATTTTCCCTGGAACTATTGATGACGAGGAACTTCGTATAAAGCGCATGTCTGATGACGATTATGCACTTGTTTGCTCTTTGACTGAAAAACAAAGAGAGTTATTTGATCATTTGTTACATTCAATCATGTGATAACAATAAAGTGAAAGTTGTGAAAATAGCCCCTACTGACAAAGCAGTATTCAACATAAAAGGTAACACATTGCATTCTGTCTATAAGATGCCTGCCAATAGAGGTTTTGAATATTGTGCACTGGACAGTGACAGAATAAATACTGTAAGGATGCAAATAAAGAAATTAGAGCTTGTATTTATTAATGGAATCTCTTACCCCATTTCCAGGCCCTAAAAGGGTGTACAGCACAGCATATTTTTGGCACCACACTGACCATTTTTGGACACAGCACTCCAAATTTTCACGTGTAAATATAGTGGTCCCAAATGAAGTGTGGCACCAGTACCCCGAATTTTGGGGGTGCTGCTAAGATTTACATTCATGTACATGCTCTCCTGTGCCATTCCAGGCCTTTTTGTATTAAACTCATCCCTGTGTGAAGCCTTGGAGCCGAATGGCTCAAAGCTGCCGAAGCTTATCCCGGTTTCTGTAGCATGAAGGTAAAGGTAAAGTCTGCATGCGAGCCAAGTGGCCCATCAGGCCGGAGCTTATCCCGGTTTCTGTAGCACGAAGCGACTAGGAGTATTTCTACTC